AGAGAGAGAGAGAGAGAGAGAGAGAGAGAGAAATCGCTATTTATTGTACGCTCTGGGACAATGTCCCCTCAAGCGTCAAAACTTATACAATAAAATAACTTGCCATTACATACCAAACATAACAAATATTGTGTAAAAAATGAGAAAATAATAAGAAGTGTATGTATATGTATATAAATAAGTTCTACAATGAAGCAAAAGACGTCAGAAGTTATTGCTAAGCAGATAGTCGTACAATTTTAGTTTGAATGCGTCAAGGGTAGGTGCACGACATATGTCAGTTGGAATACTGTTCCAAAATTCGACCGCTGAGCAGATGAAAGAGCGTCTATAAAATTCCGTGCGGCATTGCGGCAAGATGAGAGCATCAGCCGATGCCCTGGTATCACGGGAGACTATGTCGCGTCTACGTTCAAATCTACAAGAAATAGCATCAGAGGTTTCAAGATTCAAGAGTTTGAAAGTCAGACAGCCGATAAAGTAGTTACGCCTGAATTTAATCTTGAGCCAATGCAGTTTCTCAAAGTAAGGAGTTATGTGCTCATCCCGTTTTACCTGGAAGATGAACCGAACACAAGTATTCAAAGACCTTTGTAGACGAAGGTTGTGTTTGGTAGTGATGTCGGAGAGTGCGGCGCAACAGTAATCGAACAGTGGCAGAATCAGGGTAGTTATAAGCCGTGATTTGAGATGAGGCGGCAGTAGGTGTTTACAGAGCTTTAGCTGATGGAGAATTGCATTTGCTTTAGCTGATGTTTTTGTAACATGTTTCTCCCACGAAAGTGAGCTCGTAATATGCACACCCAGGTACTGCACTGTGTCGCAATAAGAGATGGCTGCGTCGTTAATGTAGATTCTAGGTAGTACATCCAAGTTCAATCCGCTGATGAATCTAGGGGTGCCCATGATCATGGCCTTAGTCTTGCTGGGATTAAGAGATAACTTGTTAGATGTGGCCCAGTGCGTGATGCTAGTAATGTCCTCGTTTATTCTGAGAATAGCTTCAGTTAAATTTTTAAGCTCAGTGTGTAGATAAATCACCAGGTCATCAGCGTAGAAATGATATTTGCAGTGTTTAAGGACTCTGCCGAAACCAATTAAGTAGAGGACAAATAAGAGAGGTCCCAAAACTGAGCCCTGAGGCACACCGGTGAACACTGGACGCTCAAACGACGTCGTCCTCGTTATAGGATCACGCACAGCTTGCTTTCTGTCATCAAGATAGGAGCATAACCATCTTAAGGCTGAAGTGGATAGGCCAAGGTCTCTCAATTTGTCAATTAAAATGTAATGATTAACATAATCGAATGCTTTGGTGAAATCAAAAAAGACCGCGACTGTCACCATCCTACCATCTGCAGCCTGTCTCACATCATCAAGTACGCGAATTAACGCAGACTGTGTGGAAAGTCCTTTCCTATACGCAGATTGAAATGGATCCAAGGCGCCCGTTTCTTCCATATAGCGCGATATCTGCTCAGTCGCGATGCGCTCCAATGCCTTTGAGACCGCGCAAAGAATCGAAATTGGCCTATAATCTCGCATTTCCGACGGACATTTAACCTTCGGAATCGGGCAGATGATAGCTGTCTTCCAAGTTCGAGGGTAAACACCGTATGTCAGGCTGAAATTGAAAATATGTGTTAAAACCGGAAGGACGCAAGGTAGAGCCCGAATGAAAAGTTTGCAAGACAGTCCGTCGACTCCAACCGCATCAGATTTGATTCGAAGCAAAACTTTTGCCACAGCAGTTTCCTCAATGTCACTCCAATAGAATTTGGAGTCTTCGTAAGTTTCTTCGCCGAGATAGACAAGGTGGTGTGTCTGCTGTCCGTCAGAGCCTGCCGCAACATTTGCGAAGAACTCATTGAGTTCGTCCGTAGGGAAGATGAGTTTTTTATCTACATTTTTTTATTTTAAAAGACCAAGATGCCTAAGCTTCTTCCATATAGCAGTCGGTTCGCTGCTGTCCTGAAAGGCGTTCAGATAATATTTTTCCTTGGCGGAACGTACTAAAGCCTGAGCCTGATTTCTTAGGATCTTATATCTGGTGTAGTTCGCATTGGTCTTACTTCTCTTCCAGACTCTCCTCGCTCTGTCTCTAGTCTTCATCACAGATTTGATGTCTGGCGTAAGCCAGGGAGCAGGAAAATGCTTGGGCTGGATGATTCGTAGGGGCGCATGCCTGTCGTAGCACTCAGTAAGAGCATCACTCAGAAACAAAACCTTGCTGTCGATGTTGTCAGCCTGATACAGTACGTTCCAGTCATATCCTCTCAGATCATTTAAGAAGTCATCAATGTCAAAAGAACGGAAATCACGCACCACAATCTCGCGTCTGAGGTGACGCTCAATTCTGACCCTGTATTTGATGCTGATGAGATCATGGGCAGACAAGAAACATGCGTCGCATTGCCCATAGGAAATCAATTTATCAGCATCATCAACGATACATAAGTCTAGAAGTGTGGAAGACGAACGAGTGTGATGGGTTGGGGCATAAGGAACCAAGTAGAGGTTCGTGGCTTCAATGAAAGTTAAGATTTGAGTCGAGTCAAAAGTGGTAGAGCACAGATCAGCATTGAAGTCGCCAAAGATTATCAAGTGCTTGTAGCCGGTAGAGAGATCCGCGAATGCATCTAAAAATTCTCGTAAGTATCCACAATGAGGCGGCCGATAAACCACCGCCAGGAGTATCTTAGAACTACTACCCACAGAGATTTCGGCCACTAGAAATTCAGGTCTTCCGTCACATACACCTTCCGAATGAAGCAGGATCCTTGCCTGAAGGGAGTTGGAGATGTAAAAAGCAACTCCACCGCCATTCCTACCCCGCCTGTCGCATCTGAAAATCTGGTACCCACGCAGTGAGATAAGATCATCCGAAACAGCAGGCTTCAGCCAGGTCTCGGATAGGCATATTATGTGATATCCTGTGGGACCAAAATAGGCTTGGAACTCGTCAAGGTGAGCCATTAACGATTGACAGTTAACATGACATATGCGTAGAAATTCTGAAAGTTCGTTAACCATAGTTAATCGTTTTTGTTCTTTCCGCTATTCTTCGTCTCAGAATGGGACATCGTTTACTGTCCAAAGTAGTGGTGCGATTAAAATTCGAATATTCGTGATATCCGGATATTCGGATATTCGGATAATCAGTTAAAATAAAAATTATTCGAATAGCCGAATATTTGGATAATAACTATTCGGTCATTCGGATAACTGGTTATTCGTATTATCCGAATAACACGCTCCGTATTATTCGGATATTTTGAATATACATACGTATTATCCGAATATTTCTGATATTAAAATAATGCGCACGCAGATATGCATACTTTGCGTTGGTGGAAAGCAGAAAGAAAATTTTATGCTTTGCGGAGACAAATGTGGTACATTTCTCTACAAGTAGAAAACTGAAAACCTTAATTCTATTATATGCGGCTATCATGCTAAACTTTAAATTTTATTATGTCAACATAACACTTTTCGACTTACGTATTTATTTGTGCTACGTATTTGTTGATTTCACCTTGGTCGAGCGTCTAGTACAGCAGTGTCGTATAGGCGGCATAGACGCACGACCATTAGCAAGCACTTGGTGTAGGGAAGCCAGTAACAGCCATACAAAGGTTTGAAATTTAGTTAATACTATTTCAATCGGTATTCTGGATAGAAACTGAGCACGCAGCAAAAGTTAGAACATCTGACTCTTTCAGCGATGGAGAAAAGTAAAGTGTGGCAGCATTTTATGCCATCAGCCGACAATAACGAGGCGGCATGCAAGTACTGTGAGTCAAAACTGTCTCATAAAGGTTTCACGACATGTCTGTAGAACCATTATAATAAGAAACACAAAGTAGTGCTCGGAGCTTCATCGTCACGTATTCACAGGTAAGTTTTTTATTTTTAACGCTGCCGTATTTTCGATACTATTCAACGTTTTCTGATGTTTCCCTTTTCAATGTTAGAACAGTATATAACTTAAGGATGTTCTAGAGAGTTTGTCAAAATGCTACGAAGTTGATAAAATTTAATATTTGTACACGGAGAAATATTTTTTTTTATATTTTACTCTTAAATTCACTACAAACTTGGGACAACTTGGTAACCAAGGAATTTTTAAAATATACAAAAGACATTTTACAAACAACGTGATAAAAATTACCAAGCAGATTGGTAAATTTTGAAAAATTATTGAAATTTCATAGATATATTTTAGTAAAATTAACCAAACGTAATTTATCTTTTAATGTAATAGATATTAATATTTTTTATTATGGTAGATATTAATCAGGATAGCTCGCATAAAATTCTTGGTGGTACATGTTGTCCCACAACTACCATGATTTCAAAGTAAATTTTAAGAGAAAATTCTCTCCGTGTATATATCTCATATTCTGTATTCTCTTTTAAAGTTCGGGACTAAATTTCAGATCGATTCACAATTTAGAGATAAAAATTATTAACTATAAATTTAGGATATAAAAATTTCAAAACTTTACTGATTTCTAGGCAAACCATGAGCGATTCTGACTCGAGTTCTAATGGCCTAGACCAAGAATGTGATCAGTCAGAACCTAAAAGCAAGAAAAGGCGCTTCACTACATCTCAAAATATTATTTCAACGAAAAAACCTGTGAATTCTAGACGTGCAGAGGATATTACCGTGGCTATTTGCAAAATGATTGCGATCGACATGCTCCCAACATCGATTGCAAAACATCAAATGACTCTGTGTGAAACTATGATAAAACATGAACAAGATATGCGTCTTCTTTATATAATAAACGGCTTCTTTATTCTAAACACTTGTCAATGAGTCTTTACCCTGACTTGCGGGTCTTAGTAATGCAACGATCGATTGACTCGCGGTACGCGCTTTGTTTCTTTTCTCTGACTGCCCGCCGCTCCTCGGGACGGCGGGCTCTTTACCTGCTCGGTATTGCTGACTTGGCTGTCAGCGTTTTTGATACCTGGTTCAATGGTCTGACGGACAGGATGTCCGGGATGACCATATTTGGTCATTCCCGAAACTCGCGTAGCTCTTCGCGTCAGCGGTCTTCGTCGTTAGGCTCATATTTTTGATAGGCGGTAACTCGGAGTTGCCAAGTGCGATACTTATTCCTTAATTCGTTGTGCGCTCACAACATTTTGTTAATTTCCAGGAGATTAAGGAATCATGGCTCTCTCATTACGTAAGTAAAACAAAAGTAGCTCCTTGGAGGTAGATATAATCCATGTAAAATCCTTGTAAGTAGCCAATACATTAGGCTCCCGCAAAAAAATTGTGAAATACGCCTATTTTTCGACACTTCGAATGCGAATACCCTTTTAAGAAGAATACAATGCTCATCGGTCAGATTGCAAACAAATCTGACATTGTGCAATATTTACGTGTTCACGAAAGAACAATGTTCATATATTATCCGAATATCCTCATATCTACGCTATTTTCGGATATCTGCACTAGCCAGATATCCGAGATATTTGAACATTTTGTTACAGATTATTTAAATATTTATATATCGGATGATCCGGATAACGAATATTCGTTATATCCGTTATCCGAATATTCG